AAGTAAGACTGACACTTAAGAATTACTCCTACACTTCACTTAAAGTAAGACTGACACTTAAGAATTACTCCTACACTTCACTTAAAGTAAGACTGAGACGCTTGATAACTGACTTACTCTGTTTTTAACTAAGAATGTTTTCACACTTAAGTCCACTCTAAGCAGTATTCTTGACAGTAACCGTGTTTCCATCAAGGCTTTCTGATGCATATTTAGAAGTGTCGCATTAAAAATGAGGGAAAAAAAAAAGTCGGAAGGAAACAAAAAATAATTTCAATTCGCTAAAAAGTTTTTTCGCTCACTTGAGGTGGTTTTTGGATGATTCGCAAAGTAGTTAATGCGCAAAACGGGAGATGGAAACACGTTTGCCGAATAAATTCTGACGTAGCGCATATTTACCTCACGTGACGTTCAGCTGTTTCCGCTTTCCTGCCTCGTCCCGGATGTTAGCCCTGCGTAGCTGCACGTGCCTTTCTGCTGCGTAGTTTAACATGGCGCTTATTTCCCTACGTCTCCTGGCAGCGTTAAACATAGCCTGTACTAGCTGAATAGATAGAATAATTACAACTTGCCCAATAGCAAGGCATTACCAAAAAAATTGCACCATTGTTACGAGATGATTAGCCTCTGCTAGTTAGCAAGTTTCACTTCCTGTTTACTACCGCAAAGCTTGTCACAGACGTCTGACGTAATCACGCGTTGCCTAGCCTCGTTTATTCACATCTAGTCGAGAGGGAAACTAGATGGAAACAGTCTAGATTCGAATTTTTATTTATTTATTTTTTTGCGAATTTTGAAAAGTTCGATAAAAATTCACTCTACAACTGGATGGAAACACGATTAGTAMTTCTAAGAAGGTTGATAAATACGGGCCCTGATACTTCTTTAACTTTAACGTGTTTAATGGGATTTCCTGAGATAAACCAACACAGTGGTGCAGAATGAAGTGGGAGGAAACTGATTCATGATTTTCTACATCAAATCTCAGTAAAACACTTGACACGTTCAAAAGGTAAAAAGTTTAGGAAATATGGAGACTTTCRTTAATTCACCTGTTCAGGTCCTGCTCTCACCTGCAGGAATGCTATTGCCAGGTCATCATATTTATTATTTTGCTGAATGTGCTCCAGAGTATTCCAGTGACTTCTACAGTCCAGATGATCCTCCAGCTCCTGAGCGTTGGCCAGCTCTACGTCACACAGGTCGCAGGTGATGGGACACCTGGGAGAAAAATACGACAAGTTAAAAAACAAACTAACATCTGGTGACATAAATAACCTCACCCCTTTAGATGGAAACAATCTCTAAATCTGTTCTTAATGCTTAAAWGTGACATTTTATTTGTGTGTTTAATGTTGAAATGTTCCAACCTGGTTAGAATTTTGATATACAAATGCTTCACAACATTTCTTATTGTAATTTCTTTTGTTTGGGATTTACTGTTTGTATTGATTGTGTTTTATTGTATTATTGACAAAATGTATGTAGCTGAGTGATTTTAACCTTGTTTTGTATAGCCTTGTTTGTTTTTAAAGGGATCCATGATTAGTTGTAAAATTAGACTTTATTTATTTATTTATAAAGCATTCTGGGTAAATGATGACGTGGATAGGACACGATGCAGATCTGTGTTAACG